AATCTTCTTTATATATTTAGATAATATTCATTATAAGCAAGGCCCCTATTGCGGGTTTTAATCCAACTGCATTTTTGTTGAAATTTGGTATTATCAATATCAACTCACCTCGTAAAAAAAAATTGACTTTTTGTGGTATTACGGTTTTTAACTCAGTGGCAGTGGGGTAGACTAGGGTATCAAAAATTTCAACTGCTACCAAGCAGTTGTAGTTAAACTTCACTGCGTTAATTTCGAAAAAATTTTAATAGAAAAATTAAAATGGATAAAAAAAAAACAATTTTAGTTATAATTTTAAACTAGTTTAATCAATTATTTTTTACAAATACATAGAAAGGTGAAAATTTTGTTGAGCTCATGAAGTAAAATCCCAAAACTGGACGAGGCAAGCCACAATTTGGAAACCGTAAAAATGAAATTAAGGGTCGTGGGAAGTGTTTCGAACATAAAGAGTCGATACAATCTACTACCCCTTGAAATATACTTTTTGAGTAAAATTTAAATTTTTGAAGCGTTTTGCTCCTCTTCTGTCATTTGTGTTTTATCCACAGCGGACAAATATGGTGTTGTGTTAAAAGCAAGTTTTGTAACAACCGTAGATATCGTAGGTTTCTTTAGCCCAAAATTTAAATGAAAATAACTTATGAATTTGCAATTAACATTATTTGAAAGCCATTTAATTGTCAATAAAACTCTGGCTTATTTAGTGATAGGAAGTTTCAATGGATTTGATTGATCCCGTAGGCTTTTCCTTATTCGCAGTACATCAGTTTTGGCCCCAACATGTTTATCTTCGCAATATAAATCAAAACTAATGTCCATTTACATAAATAATTATTTACCTTTTCGTAAGCAATAACTGAATTGAATTCTTTTTATTTTTCGTTTAAAAATGTTCAGCTGTTTAATTATCTGTTAAATCTTCATTTTGGTTGGCAACACCAAGGACACTTCGACTGAAAATAGTTAAAGTTCGTAATACCAAAAAACAGTGGGGTTTATCTGAAATTGAATTAATTCAACTTCAATTCAACTTAGTGGAGTTGAATTACTGTTTTTAAGGGTAGAAAAAATATCTACTATTTAACACATTTTTTAAAAACAAAGAAATTGTATTTGTTTATGGATTATATACATACATGGCTTGTTTATTATAATATTTCGATACTTTTTCCCTTTCCTATTGCTAACTGGAGAAGAAAAGTTCAAAACTCTCTGCCTACACGAATATTTATTTCATCAGTTAATTTAGCGAATTCGATCGGACTGAAAACGATTTTGCTCAGATGTTGTAATGATCGAGTTGAATTTAACATTTTTATAAGTTCATTTATTGGAACTTGTTAGTCGAATATCTATACCGATTTTCAATGTCTGCACCAGTAGTAATAGCATAATCTACAAATAGTAGCATAACAAAGTGTATGCCCTCAGTTTCTCTGGGTCTAATATACTTATGAACGTATTACCACACATTATGACAGTGTATATGTACGTAACTATGTATGAGTATGGTTGAGTGTAGTCAGTTGCCAGTTTCTGTCCGCTATTTGCACTCTTTTGTGTGACTGTTTGTATCGCAAAAATAATTCTAAAAATACATGGTAATGGTGATGGCTCAGGTCGCGCGGTCGCCGCATTTAAGATATACAAACATATGCATATACATACATATGAAGACATTTTACTTGGCATTTGCTCGAGCACGCTCACTGTCCCTATGACAGAGGAATTCTTTTTTAGAAAAGTGTGTCTACTAAGAAATTTAGTCGTTATAATAACAAGTAAGGAAGGGCTAAGTTCGGATGTAACCGAACATTTTATACTCTCGCAAAGTCAAATAGTATACTTGTTTGAGATTTCTATGTGGATTGACTGATATTTTCGGTAGAAGGTCAACTATAGGCACTGGGGTCCACATATTTAGTACTTAGGGGCTTAAACAGTTTTGGTTCGATTTAGACAATTTTTGGCCACAAGGTGGCATACTTTAATCGCATTATTCACGCAAAGTTTTTTCCCGATACAGTCATTGTTGTCTGATTTGCATAGTGGAAAGTGAAAGAATCAGATGGAATTTAAAATGGTGTTATATGGGAAGTAGGCGCGGTTGTAGTCCGATTTCGCCCATTTTCGCACTATGACGTAGAAACATGAAAAGAACGTTACGCACCGAATTTGGTCGAAATCGGTTAAGCAGATCTCAAGATATGGGTTTTCACCTAAAAGTGGGCTGTGCCACGCCCACTGTCTAATTTTGAACAGGGTTCCTATAAAGTCATCTTATACCATCTCAGAGATAAAATTTAATGTCTCTGGCGTGTTTAGTGCTGGATTTATCGCGCTTATAGTAGTTTTTAACAGTACCGTTATATGGGGAGTGGGCGGAGTTGCCACCCGATTTCAACTATTTTCACACCGTCAATAGAAGTGCTAAAAAAATTTGCTTCTAGTGAATTTTGTTATTATAGCATTAGCGGTTTAAGAGATATGCACATTAAACCTATTAGAGGCGGGACCACGCCCACTTTTAAAAAAAGTTTTAACTGCAGATGCCCCTCCCTAATGTGATCCTGTGTACCAAATAACAGTCTTGTATCTTATTGCGGAGCTTAGTTATGGCAAGTTATTTGTTTTTGATTAATGGCGTTTTGTGGGCGTGGCAGTGGTCCGATTACGCCCATCTGCAATACCAACCGTCTCACGGTACTAAGAAACATGTCTACCAAGTTTCATAAAGATATCTCAATTTTTACTCAAGTTAGAGCTTGCACGGACGGACGGACGGACAGACAGTCACCCGGATTTCAACTCGACTCTTCATCCTGATCATTTATATATATATAACCCTATATCTAACTCGATTAGTTTTAGGTGATACAAACAACCGTTAAGTGAACAAAACTATTATACTCTGTAGCAACAGGTTGCGAGAGTATAAAAATATATGAATAAACGTACATGCATATGTGTGTATGCAATTTTCATTATGAAGCATATAAAAGTGTATGCATAAGCATTTTAAGTATTACATCTAGCCTAACTTCGTAAACGTTATTTCGATATCCTTTCTTTCAACCTCTTCTGATCAACAGTTGAATAATGTTAAAATTGACGTATTTCTGCATTTTGGATTGCTAATGTAACACAATAAAACCACGATGATGATCATAAGTATTAACGTTTGATTCCAATAATAGCAATGTCGTTAGATATTATCAGGTAATCATTATTTACGTAAATGTCGACAGCAACGTTCAGTGATTTGAGTCAATCGCTACCATATTTTTTAACTGACAAATTGTGTGGGATCCAACGTGAAAATTTTTTTTTATCAAATGTGCACGCAATATAGAGTGTATGCCGGTCCCACTAGTGCCTATAGTTGTCTCAATCTCACGCTAGGTCACATGATAATCTTACATTATCAATTTGCGCACAACATCAATAGTTTCTGGAACAACAGCTGATTTTAGAGGACCTTCACGAAATTCGTCTTGCAGGGATCTACGACCTCGATTGAATTCACCATACTGTCGATAAACACCGTAGATTCATCGAAAAAACTTTAATTAACTCCATTGGTGCACTGTTGCTGAGTAAAACACTGGAGATTCATCGCCAAAAATTTAATTAACTTTATCGGTGCACTGTTGCTGAGTTAATCCACGTCGAAAGTTGTTAAAAAAAAAGCGATTTAATTAATTTTTTTGGCCGAGATGATATTTAAAGTTACTGTAAACAACAAAAATATGTCAAAACGTTCTGATATATGTATAAGATCAAAAATGCCAAACTTTACGATAAAGTTGTGAGTTGCCAGATTGCAACACTAGAGTTGCCAAATCCCGAACTATAAAAGGCAACCTACGTATTTATATATTTTTTTCAATTTCCAATTAAAACTTGGAAACGCATTTTATGTTTAATATACCTTGATTCTTAATTACATTACAAAAATCTACTTCTTTCCCAACGCCTGTTTAAATAATCGTAGAGGGAAGCGAGATAATTTGTTTTGAAATAAAAGAGAAACTCTTCTAAACAAAATTTAAAATTCTTTACATTATTTTTTGGATAATTATTAAAATTTTAAAAGAAAGGGTTTTCTAATAATATGGGCCAGTTGTTTTTGGAGACATTAGTATGTTTGTATTGAATTTATTGAATTTATTGACGGGCGGGGCAAAAATGTATAAAATAATTCACTTGGTTACACTGAGCACTGCACTTATTTTTAAATAATAGAGTTTTATGCATATGCAAATGACTCGATTTCCCTCATTTATAATAGAAACGTTTTTTGGACCTAAAGGTACACATCTGCTGAGCTCAAGTTATCGAGCGGAAAGACATTTCTATTTAATATCGATACATATGTGTGTATGGTATGTATGTTTACCGTGAGCATCAACAGGTTACATTTAAGTAATTTTGAACCATTTTCATATTAACAATTTTACATTTACGAAGAAACATTTAATTGGTCAAAACTTAATTACTGATATCGTATTTTTCGTACAGAATATTGTAACAATAGGAGTATACCTATATATCAAATGTATTTGCGGCTAATCTAAAAACGCTAAAATTGTGTAGTCAGCAGGTTGATGTGTTTCCGGTTTTATGCGACTCTATGTACATATATCTTTTATTATGACCATGCTACCCTTTCCCTCAAGTTTTGTAACAATAATCCAATCAAATTATTATATTGCTTCGCAAATCTATGCACATACATATTTATAAGTATATATGTATATAAAGCTAATATATAAGCATACATATATAAATAACATACATATACATATGTATATGTATATACGTGTATAAACTCTATGTATGCCCATGTTTATCTTGAAGAAAAATATAAACACAAATATGTACAAACATATGTTTACAAATGAACGCTGGTTGTGGCATAAAAGACGGTGTCTTGCATATTTTGTTTATCTACCTTATCATATTACGGTATATTGTTATAATCCAAAGTTACTTACATATATACTATATACTTATATTCAGAGTTTATACATTTACATTCATCAAGTTCTGGTGACAACAGATTGGCATTCACTGAGAAAGAGAATCATTTCAACTTATTCGCACTGTTTATTTGGCTTTTCATTTTTCTTTCAGTAGTCAGTTCGCTACTTATCAATCCGCACATACAACTTCCGACAAAACTGAAATTTGCATTTTTTTTTATCAAACTCGTACTTTTTAAATTTTTTTCACTTATACATGCTCAACACCTATCAATTTACTCTAAAAATGTTAAGTTCCATTGTGCATATTCTATTGTAATTGACTTTGCCACCGTCGCAATTCCACTACATCTCACTTTGTAGTCTGTTTGTATTATTGATTGACACGATTTGACATATTCTGCCCCCACGATTTATAATTATATATAGCACTCCTATTAATGTACGTATGTATATTGAATATGCACATTTAATGTTCGTTTCACTTGCTCGTTTGCTTTGACTCGTGCGCACTCCAGATAGAATACGACCTCCACGCAAAAGCGTTGCAAAAACAACTGATTCTCAAAAATTGGCGAGAGATTTTTCAGTGCTTCCAATTGTTTATATGATCATCACCCGCTCTCTATTCTTAACACTCTTTGACTAAGCATACCATGAATAATGTTAAATAAATTTTATTCATTCTCTTATAAAGAGAAATGTGTTGAGTAAAGCCTTTTTTATATGAAAATTTCAGTAGTATCACTTGTTACATACATATGTGAGTGTGTGTACAGTGAATATATACATATATACATCTATTTTGAAAATTTTTATTTTTATTACCCTACAACTCCATTAGCTTTATTTCAATATGCTTCAATAACCGTTAACGATGAATTGCTAATCCCCAATGGCAGAATATCAAGAGTAAGCAATATGGCCTGCGAACTTTCGAAAGAAATGAGTTTCCAATATAAATTGGGCTTCTGATTTTATATTAATTACTAGCAACATTCATTATTGGTTGCTAAAAATTTTAATAACGCAGTACGATTCTCTTTACGATTTTCGACATTACTTTTATGATTTGCCAGGGAAAACTTTACAAATGTAAACTTAGCATTTTTTATTCTGAAATCATGGAACAATTTTATACTAATTCCCTACTTTTAAATCACTATCATTCAACTTATTAATCTTTATAAAAACTATTGCTGTTCCATGCATACAATCGGTGTATATAAGTAGTCCAGATGACTCGGTGTCTCTGCATAACATTACAAAGCAAAAGGGCAAAAACTAACTTCACTTCTGAAGCAATAATAATTGCAAAAATCAGACCGTCTCGTGCCTCAACTGAAACCACTTACGAGTATGTCGACTTTCCAGTCTCTTAAAGTACAACCACTACTTACAAAACTCGATATAATAACTGAGTTGATTGTTTATTTGTTGGTTGGCGAAGAGTCACGCTTTGGTCATATCGACGCGATGTTTGGCCACAACAGTTCAGCGGTCAAGCCACTGGTCAATGCACAAAGCCACTTGCGCATGCGGTGCTGTTACAATTTCAAATGCCAGTAGCATCGGCAAAAGCGTAGTGGCTATTTAGGAATGCCGCATCGCCACTCAAGGAATCCAATGAAGAATGTGAATTAAGTGAAAAAAACTGTACAAATTAAAAGAGAGCTGCAACAGAAGCAAAATTCTGGAGAAGAAGTTGCCCGAGTACTCAACACTACAATATAGAAAACGAAAAAAAAAATTAAATCTTCAGATATTTGAACTTGTTTCAACAAGAACAAATTCATATCGGTTGGTTGCACTTAATAGAACTCTTGAAGTTGCAGCGACGTCAGATATCGCCAGTGGCACCAACAGCAAGAAAGAGTACTAGTTGCCCGCAATTTAAACGCGTTTTTATACGCCTTGTAAATTACATTTTCAGAATTGTTTTGTCTTGTTCTGGTCATGTCTCGCAGTTGTTATCAAGCTCAGCTGCGCATACTTTCACATATCTGTGCTCATCTACTTGTCTAACGTTGGTAAAGGGTTTTGGTTTACCACGTCAGCATAATGGTAAAATAGTATTCAATTAAAATGTTGTAATACTATGTTCAAAACATGGCGAGAGTTTAGAAACCATTGACTTTAAGTGATTAACTATTATTCAACCACAGTTCAACATATACTAAGTATATTTATTGTATTAAGATGGGGAATCTAATATATTGAATTATATGCATGCTATATTATTATAAAAAATTTGGCATAATCTTATAATACTTTAATATAATATATTATATATAAACCACAATATATTTTAGAAAACGTCTTCAATTAATTTTACCTAGATATTGTATTTGTATAATATCAACTACCATACAAATCATTATATTAAGTATGTGGCAGCTAGAGAAATTTATTACAGAATGTCATTCGTTGTTACCCTACCTAATTTCGTTAAGGCATCAGTAAATTTACCGATATCTTCATTGATGCTTAATTGTCTGCTTTAAAGTAAATGAATCTGAGAGAACTTAAAGTGGTAGGCTAGTGAATTATAGTTGCCGTTATATTTGCGTTGGATACTAAAACAGGATTTTTATTTGCGGAAGGCTACAGAAGCCTACTTGAAAACGCAGATAATAATCCAGAAGCACTGTTTAAAGGATTTGGCAGCGTTGCTGAAATTTTTAACATAAATCATAAAATGCAACATAAAGAAATTAACAACAACGACATATATAAAAATTTTAAATACATAGTTATGTATTGTATAATAGAATTAAATTAGAAACGTACATACTAAATAAATAAAAAAACAAGTAAGGAATGGCTAAGTTCGGGTGTAACCGAACATTTTATACTCTTGCAACTTGCAAGGATCAAATCTGGAAAATACCTCCGGGTGTGGCAAAACTTATTATTAAAAAATGTTGCGCAAGAATTCAGCACTCATTATTTGACGAAATCGCGAATAGCATGCAATCAAATTTTTTATTTTATCAAGTTATTCACTGCGCGTCACCAGGGGAGCACACCTTTATAACCCTAAAACAATTGCTTCTGATATTTTGTTATTAACTTTTTGCAACTTTATTATGTTTTGATTTTCGCATCCTAATGTGAACAATCACTGGTAAGGGAATTAAGCGATAATAATATCCCCTGATATGAGTTTTGTCTACTATCTGTTCTTTTTAACCGGAAACTGTGCTTTATTCTTGCGTCATCAGCATGATCTTCTAAACATGCAATTTGAATTGCATATATCTTCGGAGTTTGAATACGTATTGAAACCAAACATTTGGTATTGCTTAAGTGCTCTTTTTTTTTAATATGGCTAATGGAGAATAGCTTTCGGCTGAAGAAAAAGCAATAATCGAAGCTTATGAAGAATTACAGCTCTCAACAATTGAAATATCGAACAAGTAAGGAAGGACTAAGTTCGGATGTAAATAAACATTTTATACTCTCGCAAAGTCAAATGGTATACTCGTTTGAGATTTCTTTTCTTGACCGATGTTTTCGGTAGAAGGTCAACTATAGGCACTGGGGTCCACATATTCAGTCCCTAGGGGCTTGAACAGTTTAGTTCGATTTAGACAATTTTTGGTCACAAAGCGGCATACTTTAAACGTATTATTCACGCAAAGTTTTACCCCGATATAATCATTGTTGTTTGATTTGCATACTGGGAAGTGAAAAAATCAGATGAAATTTAAAATGGTGTTATATGGGAAATAGGCGTGGTTGTGATACGATTGCGCCCATTTTAACACTATAATATAGAAATATGAAAAGAATGTTACATACTGAATTTGGTTAATTTGCTGCTTAGCTATTGCAACCTATAGGCTTTCCATTAATGGCGTTTTGTGGGCGTGGAAGTCGTTTGATTACGCAAATAAATGTAGTCAACAGCTCAAGATCAGTTCCCTGATTTTGATATTTCTACCGACTAAGGGTTGATAGTATTCGATAACATGCGAGGTGTGTTTAGAAAACAACGGGAAATTCAAAACTTGGGGTTCGAAGAGTTTAATTGTCAAAATTTTTTTTTATTATGTTGATATACATGCCCCTGAAGTACGATACAATTAGACATGTTAGACGAGTTTTTACGTATATGAGCTTGGCAATTTTCTTTTGTTAAAGAAATGATAACAATGATGTTCGTGAATTCTTGGCGAAAAAAAATGCTGTAACGATGCCCCAGCTGCTATATTCGCCAAACGTGGCATGGTATGACTTTTTCTTATTTCCAAAAATAAAGAAAACCTTAAAGGGTCGTCGTTTTACAAGCATAGATGACATTAAAAACGCATCACTGAAATAGCCAAAGGCTATCCCAAAAATTTAGTTTAAGAAGTGTTTCGACAATTGGAAGAAGCGTTGGCATAATATCAAAAGGGAACTATTTTGAAGGCGAAATCGTTAATCTAGACGAAAAAATAATTTTTTTTTTCCAAAAACGAAAACTTCCCTTATTTTTTGGAACACACCTCGTATACGCGTAATAGGGGTAAATGATGAAAAGCAAATACTATGAACTAAAGCTCTTGGTATTCGACTAACCTAATTAACCGGATAGGGCATTATTCGAATAATAATATTCGGTTTGCACTATCGGGATGGTCGTTAGTTGTCGACTATTCGATTAACCACTAATTTTCGACTATTCGGTAAACCGTTCGTTGTCGACTATAAAAAATATAAAGCAAAAATCAAAGGCTGCTTGGATTTCAAATAATTTTCATTTATTCAAATACTCGCAGCAGAGCATCGAATAGTCGCAGAAAAACGACTATTCGAATATTACAACTCGGTTAATACTCGTACGAACGGTTACAAACCGAGGGTTCGACTAATCGGTTTTCGGATTATTCGAATAAATTTAAGAGCATTACTATGAACCAAAATAGGGTCAAATCGGTTAAATATAATAGTTGTTTAGATATGACATCTTTCTAAAAGTGCGAAGTGCTAAACTCATACGCCTATTTTAAAACTTATCCTCATTAACTTGTTGTATAATTCTTAAAGTTAAATTTGCACACATACAAGTATTATGTATGCTACTACTTCTGGCAATTTCTACTTAAACAGCACATTTATATACCATGTATACATAAACACAGGTTTTAGAGTCCATTGTATTGTTCACAACGCTTTAAATTTTAAACTCGCTTGTTTTTCTCCGTCTCGGGGATATCTCTTCCCAAAGGAAACCACAAAAACTGTTTTCGCAAAACTGTTATTTTACGTTTGAAAAGAGCCCTGACGTTATCTTTAATATTTAAATCTGGACCTTGAGATGGCCAGCCTAAAGTTGCAACACCAACATCCGTAAAAAAGTTAGTTGTAGCTGTTGCAAGATGAATGATTCACCAATAAGCATATATCCGGAAGGAAAGATTTTATTATTTAGGGCACAGAAATATTAATTTTGGTCTATCGAGCCGCTAATAGGAACCAAGACAACCAACACATTATACACCATGGCGCATATTTTGATATGAAGGTCTTTCTTTTAGCCTTACTCTTTTATAATCTTACAAATTGATTTATTTGCCCATTTTGATTTGTACAAATGTTCCATTGCGATGGCTGGTCTTTTAAACTTCTTTGAATTTCATATGAACAACATATCCTTAGATGTAATTGTCTTAAAATATACTTCCTGTATAAGGTTTTTAAATAAATTTTTATATTTTAATCAAAGTTTAGTATCAGTTAAAGTTAAATATCAAGTTGTTTTATTTTCACGTGCTCAAATCTGCAAAAATCTCTACACAAATAAAAGCTTTCACCGCGAACCTCTTCAATCAGCGAACTATTCACATACGTATCGCATCGTACACATGAAAATAATAAATCATGAAGTACCATTTAAGTATGGAGTATATCCGTATCTGACTTTATATCTACAGAGCGCAAGCTTTTCCCGTTATTTTGAAATTAGGAAGATTTCGAGCTTTACTGACAACCGACGAGATTGCTACCAACGAGTAATCAAAACGCAACGAAAACTGTAATACAATTTTAAGCACTTCAAATTTGAAAAGGTTAGACATTGGTGCACGCATAACGTAGTAATTATGTTATAATTATTAAAACTAAATTATAAAATTCGGCGCTAATATTTTACATATCATATTTTTTTGATTTATGAGCCTATAGGGTTTATTTTAAATTTTAGTTTTTCTACCACTCAAAAATATCTGAATAGATATATGTATATGATTCATAGCGTAGAGTGGAAGTATGTAAATACATATGTAGCTTTATATTTGTATAAGAACCAAAGTAAAGTTTACTGATGACTTTTTTCCATTTAAGTCGTTACAATAGGAAATTTAAGGAAGTTTCAAGTAATGATATTTTATATTAAGCTACTGAACATTCATAAACATTTATGGCGTGCCAGTAGTACTTACTGATGGCCAGCTGACTCACACTCGTTACATACTTGTAGAGTGAAGAATGTATTTCCACGATGCACATAGATTTGCTTTCATTTTCACGAGCCCCGGGAAAATAATTTCCTGACACCTTTTATTCAAATATTTTTTCATTTTCACAATGATTATTACTCCAATATTTTGCAACGAACTGCTGTATTCTTCCATAAATTCTATTCATATTATTGTGTATAAGATGAAGTACAACCCATTTGCTACTAATCTAAAAAAATCTTGAATATTATATTATATAGGATATATCCAAAAGCTGTCTTCGTATCGCCACTTCTGTGTTTTCTATGTTTAAACTTGTAATTAATAACTTATATTCATAAAGTAAAACTATGTTAATTAATTTCACACTCCGTTTTTTTATTATTATTTCTTAAATATTCATATGTAGGTGTTATTTATTCAGTTTTAAAATAATATGCACACTTATTGTTTCATGTTTGGCGAATACTCGGAAAAATATATTAATGTTTTTTATTAGAAATATTTTGTATCTGAAATATTAAAGTGTCGGTATATAAGTGTGCATATATATATATGCATGTATTTACCACACCATATACATTCCATCTTAAATGAAATTAAGCAGTTAAATAAAGATACATAAACAGATGATAAATATATACACACATATATGCATATATGCTCTAAATATTATAATATATAATTGTATTTTAAAATCATATAATGAGCTGTGAGGTAATTATTTATTTAGTAATTTAATATCTACAAACATATACTATTTTCCTTTATTTCTTCTTAAGATAAAAAGAAAAAATGAGTACTTAAGAAGTAGGTATATTTTGATTATTAATATCTGAATACTATAATAATGCACTTACATACATTTAGATATATTTTTGGATACACGTTTATGGCATTCAACATTAGTTAATATGCGAAGGAAGGTAGAAAAAAAACACTTTATTATGATGTACATAAATACATACGTAAATATTTAACAGGATCAAAGAAGCTTTCTGTTTGAAATGTTGATTCTAAGTGACTTTTTAAATAGCGAACTGCTTAATATTTTAAACATTTTTGTTATTAGTGTTTAACATATATTTACAAATACAAGCTTATATATACATATGTATGTAAGAAAGTTTCGTCATTTGTATTGGAGTTCGTAGTTTTGGTTACATCACCCAGCATTTTATTTTTTAAAGCAGGAAATGGGGTTAAAGTAGCATTGACGATATCTAACTTGGCGTTTTGTCTCAGGCATACGGAAAAGTTCGTTCATGCCGCTGCTCCACCCAGGTGTGCGAATATAAGATCTGTTAAGAGTATCAAAAGAACTGGATTACTATTAGTTTGCTGCAAAAGAGATAGTTTATAAGAAATGATATACGTAGGTCTATATTGCGCGATTAACATTTGCAGGCGATCAAAAGGAACGGCAGAGTAAGTTGAAGGCACTGGGAGCTCATAGTAGGTATTACGCACTTCGTCGACATCCTGTCCAAAATTATCTAGATCCTGCAATTAAATTTATTAGTCAGTACAAATTTCTTCATGTTTTAGAAATTGTTTTATATTATCATATACTATAATATTAATATCATTTTTGGCAATGAACGGCCTTCGTCTTCCGCAGGACTTTAAAGATAACGTACTAAAGCTTTGTACGTGACATGACGTCAAACCGAAAATTTCACATTATTCATTCTCGAACGACAATCCTTAAAGAATTTTCAAGTTACCATTGCATATATGTGTACTACTTCAGTGCGATATATTCTTCTCAAACTTTTACGAACCAATTTAAGGTTTTACAATGTTTACAAATTTAAATTTTATATACTATCGTTTTTCAATTACACATACATATGTATTTATAAAGCTGTGTCACTTGAGAGCAAAAAGAAAATTTAAAAAAAAAATGAAGCCAATGAAGAAGTGTTTTTGAGTGATAACTGAATATGAATAGAGCTTTGTATCTTAGCTTGCTAGCACGATTCAACTATGGTAGGTTGTGTCGATAACCCAAAAACAACAATTTGTCAAAAGTAATTAGATCCATAATGTCAAAATCAGCCGTTTTGCTTTGTATTGGAAGATAATTTCTAGAAACTAGCAGATATCTCAGGTTTTTACGCAGTCAAATTGCAGAAAGATTGCTAGCTGGTGATAGTTAGCAGTTAATATTTTGTTATTTTGTTTGCTAATTTCTGCTAGCTTTCGTTTCATTACTTCTTCGTCAATTCATTTTTTGTGAATATAACTTCTCAATTCGCTCAGTCATCTTCTTTCTGATAGCTAGAAGCTACTAGCAGTTAAGAATCAAACTAATTGATTCACTTAAAAAACATATTTTCATTGGCTGGAATGTTTGAAAATATATTTTTGAATCACAAAAACAAAGCAAAACAGCTGATATTATGAGAAAAAACACTTTTGACAAATTGTTGTTTTTGGGCTATTGATACAACTTAATAATAATTGAATCATGTATGTACACTATTATGAAGAATTCAAAGCAATCACGTAGGTATCATATTCTTCGAATTTTTTTTATAGAGTTTCGTTCATATACACATCAACATTTAAGTATGTATTTTTCGAATTACCTGATCGTTGCCGAGTGCACTTTGGGGTCGCGACTCAATTGAATCAATTGTCATCATTAGTAGGGCATAAAACATAGAGATTGTTATTATTTTCATCATTTTTCCTATTTTAAATCCAATATTTTGCGCTGAAAAAATAAAAGAAAACTATATTTTGATATATAACTGAAATATTAAATTAGGAACACATATTTACATATGTATGTATGTATTTTCAAACATTCATTGTATATAAAAAACACAATCTTCAAATAATTGACAAGAGAAATAAGAGTTTATAACATCTTTTCCCGTTTAGTTATCTAGACGATATACCATAAGTCCAATGTAGGCTTGTGTGTATTTGTGAACATATACAGAACGTAATTATATTGTACTATTACAATTTACTTATGTATATAACTTCCGATGATTGAATTGCATGTAATTACCACCGTAATACAGAAAACCGCAAATGTCTTCTTTATATGTATAATAGAGAATATTCCTCTAACTATTACTAATGCAAAATCATGATAAGTGTGTACACATTGGACATTTGCAATGTGACATTTAAAATACGTATATGTTTTTTTAATTAAATGCCATGAAAAAAATCATTCATAAACAATTAAGAAATTACTACCTTAAGTTCGTGGAAATACAGATTTAGATACTTTCAGAATTAAGATTAATAGGCATACAATGATAAGTTTACTTAGTTATTGATGAAATACGTATGTATTTTAATAAAGTGAATTTCCGTATCACGCTTGGTATTTTCGGCTAGATCGGTTATGAGTTATACCTATTTAAGTTCTACTAAAATGGGCCGGAGTGTAAGAACATAAGAAATTGTTTTCTGAATATTATTTAAGTAATAGCAAGCTATTATTTTATTAAACAAATCAATATTTTCCATTTATTAAGTTATTTATTTCTGAATACGACGCCAAAAATTATATTATCCAAGCTCCGGATATTAGCTAGAAATATTGTATAAAAACTTTAACTCATCTGAATTTATTATTTGAATTTTTTAAGTATATGGTAAAATTAGTGGATTACAATTCTATAACCCATATTCTTTAAGCAAATCACATCACATAGAAGTGTGTAATATAAAAAGCTTCTACGTCTGTAAGGCAACAATGCTACTACTCGATTGAAACGTAATATTTTTGTAACAAGTAGCAAGATTCATTTCCGCAAATCGTGCCAGACTAGTTTCAGTGCTGGAAATGCCAAATGAATACAGAGCAATAGCATTGAAAGGAATAAAAAGTTTAATTGCAATTCTGCAACACGATTTCGTATTTGCCACAAACAATACGTTAAGGTATCAATGTTGCAAGCCTTAACAATAGAAGAATGAATAACATATAACTAAGAATTAAAACGTATGTTTTACAGTATAAGAATTGTTTGAAAAGTTTTAGATAAGGGCTTCTTTTAAAATTACTTCAATTTATATATGTAATAAAAAAACTTATGAGTTCGAAAAGTTTTATGGCAGTGAAAATACGTGTATACAATTTAATTCATACATCAAAATTAGTACTGTAAATGTGCCTTAAAATGCACATATAAAGACCTTTTTTTAATTAGTCGAGTAAACATTTAAATCCTTCTAGTATGAAGTCGATTAGATCCAGTACTTTACTATCATAATTTCCTCATTAAGGCAATTAGATTAACTGGTTGCGTGGATGAAAAATGGAAATAATGTATGCAGGAGATTGTAAATATACATACATATGTATATATGTACTTACAAATGTAGGTATGTGTAAATGTACACCTACGACCACGGCTTATTCTTTGTCATTTAGAGTATATTTGTGTATTAGAGGATGAAGAATGTATGCATATCTTCAATCAAAAATCCGCTGCCATAAAACGAGGCAATATTAATTTCACACGTCCAATGCCGCTTTTACAAGGAAACTGGCATGCAGCCCATACTGTAGTAAAGAACAACTTACAACTTTTTAGGTTACTCCGAATAAATGAATGCATATTAATAATTTACCGGTGGTTTAACCTTTTTACAATACATTATAGTAGTATACTATGAAATACGGATAGTACTATTATTTAAAAAATTAAAATCCAACTTATTTCAACAAAACTTAAAAAAAAAACGGAAATACAAGCCTACAAAATGATTTATTGCTTCAAAAGTATTTTATTACTTAAATCAAAGAAAATTTAGTACTTTTTTACTAATGGCATTTGTAAACATTAGGTTATCGTCGCCTACGACTACTTTTGAAACGTAGTCCTAAAATTTTTTATCATGGCACAGTAAAAGTATCAGATTTCATTGTCATTACAATTTAATTTTCTGCTCATATATATGTATTTACTGTCATAACATGCAAATTTATTGTGGCTGTTAACTTACAAGAAAAGATTTCTTTCAAACAAAACCGCATACACAAGTATGTATGTATACCGAATTGGTGTGATGTTATTGAAGTATATATGAATAGATTTATTAAAAAATAAAAAACTAGTAAATTTGTTTAGTAATTGGAATTTTCCCTTTTCTCTATATACATATGTTTGTACATACGCTACATCTTTTACTAACCTACTTTTAATATTAACTCTGAATAATAATTGCCAATTATTACTATTTAATGAAAATATCGGATAATTATTTTTGGCGAAGCATGAAATTTTCTCACGGTTTTATTGTCACTTAAAAGCAATTGGCGACTCTCGTATCAAACTCCGTTTTTTATTGTGAAAAATTAAATGTTAACCCTAGCAAGAGAAATATAGTGTCTTAGCTTTATTGTATGTATTGTAGTATGTATGTTGATCATTGGGTTGCTGATGTATTGTTGCTATAGTCTCCAATTCAAAACTGCTCGCTGTTCAAATGCAGTTAACGACAATACATAAATTAATGCACGTACATACCCATAAACATGTATGTATAGTGCCCATAATTTTTGATATCAAATTTCAAATTAACTTGCAAATGTTATTTATCAGACCAATAAACATGTCCTGATTATGAGGGTTTTATTTGATGTACTTATGTTCGCTTACTTTTTGTTGAACGAAAGTTACTGCTGTATCACAACGGAAGTATTACAATACAATTATTGTTAATGTTTACATATATTTTGAACACTTTGCCTTTATGTTTCTAAAAGTTTTATTCATGTTTGTGGGACACAAATTACGCATTTATGTTCTAAAAACACTAGTCAGATGATGTCAAACTTGCTATGCTGCTACTAAACCATATTTATGCGTTCATATGTAGGATAAACAGGTATTCACCCACAAGTATAAGAACATATAAATACTCATAAATATGTAAGTATTGTGTTGAATTAGGAACATGCGATTTTATGATAACCAACTAATCCAATTTTATTGCAATGGATTCCATTCATATTCGCATACTGATAAATTGGAACACATGTGATATTAAAAAATTAGATAATGGGTTTAACAGGAAACAAAAAAAATTGCTAAACGCAGCTGATTTGTCTGTTAGTTGCACTACGGTGCAGAAAATTTAAATTAATTGCAAAGTATTTAATTCATTTTGCTATCAACCAAATACTTTTATTGTAAGAAAAATTTGTTATTTTCATATTAATGGTGAATTAATAAATTTTTTGAAATCTTGTTGCTGGTTGAAAACGATCCGTTGACATAACATGCCATAGCTGTATGTATGTAACAGCGAAAAGTTCATACATATGTCCTTACCTAGTTAGAAACCACCAAAACCGATCACAAAAACAAATATGTTAGTTTCTTTAAAATTCTCATTCCATTACATTTTATACCCAATTAAGGCATTTCACGTTTCATTGTTACTTCTGATAATTTGTGTGTATTTACTCATTTAGTTCGTTAGCCGCAATCAATGCCAATGAACTTAAAGTTTTTGGAAATAAGTTAAAAATCATTACAAATGATAGATAAACAATGACAAATGCTTTGACTTTTAGAGCTATTTACAAGTGTATTGGTACTGATACATTATCACCGTCAGGCTCCCTTCGCATGCAAACAAATTCACAAAATCAAATAAATACAAAAGCTTTCAAATTTTTAAGAAATATTAAAAAAACCAAAATATTAAATTTAAACTTAGAATAGTACTTATATTGGTTGCATACTTCATGTGTTGATCAAATAAAATATATATTACCAAAGGACTCTAGAAAAGTATGCAATGGTAAAGTAATAGTGTAAATCTAGTTTAGTGGTCAAATTTTCCCCTTGATATACAGTTTTAAAATTTCGTAAAATAAAGCTAAAATATTCATACTTTCATTGAAGCCTTTCATAATACAATTCCGTCTTCCAATTTTTAAAGCATTAATATTAATTGTATGGCGATACATACTAAAGTAATAGATTCCTTAGTTATTAGTATCGCTTAATCGGTAAAAGAAGCCATTTCATTCTGACTAACCTCACAGATTGTAGTTCATATACATTATTATTTGTTGTTATTGAAATAGATTACCTTAAAAATTTTAGTTGTACAAATAATACTGACATTTTGAAAGCACATCCAAATGAAGAAAGAACAGAAGTACTTGTACATATACATACATTATTTTTTGGCTTATAAATAATGTTAAACAATATACACCTATATAAATATTAAAAATTATGAATATTTATATGCCACACTTACCGTTGATAAATTACAGAATATGTAGGTATAACAATTTGTTTACAAATTTAATACGATTAAACCAATTAAACTTTGTTTTACCAAAATTCACTTTTTTATCTTGTGTTGAAAGTTCAAAACCTCAACTTTACGCCTAGAATTATTTCTTTGTATTGTTGTTCACACTGTTAACTATGCTGGCAATCTGACGCCGTATCAATCGCTACCTAGCTTTTTATACAGAATAGCTCGAAAAGTTGGTTAGCTTACATGCGCACCCGCAACATTCACGTCAACATCAACGACGTCTACATAAACGTGTAGCATGGCCGATAAATCCATCGTAGTCAAAATGCAAAAGCAACACTTAATATAAAGGCTACCAGCAGGAACAATCGGCAACTCGATGTATAATCACCTCGAACTCGGTTCGTTATTATCATTTCCTACTAGATTGTATTATAATATGTAATTATGTGTGACACTGTTAATAGGGTTGTAAAAGCTGTATTTGTGTGTGTAATGGACATGCATCCTCGGCCATCATAATCTGAAAATAAGAAGTGTAAATATGTACATTCATTTATGTGTACAAATATGTGTTGATGCAACTTTTATTGGAAACATGTTGCTCTGACTTTGTTTTGTATTGGTAGTAACGAATACTTAGAAGCTTGATACCTGTTGCGTATTCCTATTTTCTGTCAAAGAAAGTGTTAACCGAAACACAATGATATGATGATTGCAGCAATATTTACAATTAATAATTTACTCACGAAAATATAAATTTTTTTATAAATTATGGATATGAATTACCTTTTCTGTTCTGTTCTTCTCTGACCTATGTTCTTTTTCCCTCATATATGTATATATATACATATATATGTATATGAAAAAGTTCAGCAGCTGCTGTTTCCCAAACCTATTATTTTCTTTTTATACTCTCGCAACATGTTGCTACAGAGTATAATAGTTTTGTTCACCTAACGGTTGTTTGTAGGATATATATTACCAAATGAGATAGATATAGGGTTATATATAATACTTATATATTTATTAATGATCAGGATGACAAGACGAGTTTAAATACGGGTCTGTCCGTGCAAGCGATAACTTAAGTAAAAAATTAGATATCTTAATGAAACTTGCTACGAATGGATGAAACTTGCTATAATTGCTGATGGGCGTAATCGGATAAATACCATGCCCAGAAAACGCCATTGAACGAAAACCTATAAAGTGCCATAACTAAGCACTTAATTACGATAAATAACTGTAATTTGGTACAGTGGGGGCTAAAATTTTGTAAAGGTGGGCGTGGTCTACGCACCCGAAATAGTTTAATGTACGTATCTTCCAAACCGTTTAAGCTAAATTAACAAAACTTCCTGAAAGAAGTTTGTTTTCGGATCTCTTTATATAGTGTGAAAATGGGTAAAATCAGATAATAACCACCATCATACTCTATATAACTGTTATGTTGAAAACTACTAAAAGACACTGAATGGTAGGGAAGAGATTTATAGAAGCAGGTGTAAAAATTGGAGAATGCACGTGGCTACGCCCATTTTTAGGCGATATCCTATATCTCAGGAACTATTGTACTTATCTAATATCAACCAAATTTGGTGTGTGAACTTTTTCAAACATTGCTATTACACACGATATCGGTTGACAACCACGTCTACTTCCCATATATCAAACTTCTGAATTCTATCTGATTCTCTCATTTTACAGTATACATATCAAACATCAATAAAATTATCAGAGTAAAACAAATTGTACTCTCAAGGTATTTAATCTTATGCCTAAATATTGTCGAATTAGGGTTATAACCATTCTGTTATTGAAATTCGGGGAGAATATTTTTGTGATGACAGCATGCCCTTGTGCCAAAAATGGATAGAATGGAATCGGGTGAATACTTCCTTTAATTCTCCCTACCTAATATAAATATTTCGAACTTCCGGTTGACTTCATGCCGCGTCTATCGGTCACTATGGCCTATCTAATAACAGTGTATCTTCTTGTCTGTGATTGTAAATAATGAATGTAATACTTCCTACTTTTACTTAAAATATAGGTATACGAAAATGCCATACTATAACACTTTACCTTGCGATAGTATAAAAATTTAGTTCAGTTTCACCCGAATTTAGCCTTTCCTTACTTGTTATATATGAATATATCACATCACTTATCAATTTAGGAAAGTAGGTTCGGGTGCAGATGAAGCATTCAATTTCTGTAAAATATTTTCATGTGTCTATCCTAACTTATATAAATATGCTAGATAATTTCATTAATTTTAAGGTATATGGGACTATAGCACCGAATACCGTTTTGCTGCAAAATGCATGCTCCCACATTATTAGTAATATATTAATTAATATACATACCTCACTTTTTAATCGATTTAGCGGTATTACGCCCAATGTTAAATTTTTAAACGGAAAATGTTGGCAGCTTATTTGGAAATTGCACAATAATACATTTTTTTAAAAAAGACGGCGTGCGGGTTCAACAATATAATTGCAATACAAACACACATAAATCCATTCGTATTTAGATCAGCTTTAGGTGATACAAACAATCATTGGATTAACAAAACTAGTATGCTCTAATGTAAAATGTTCATTAACTGTTTACTTTATTTTGACAAAAATAATCAATTTCTCTTTGTCAAGGATAATGGAAATATTTCTGTTGCTAGTTATGGTGAACTGAATATATACGTGCAAACTTATATATACTTGTATATTCATATGTGTATATAAACACTCTTGATCATATCCGAAGCTTGAGCCAATGTGGCAATAAAATATATTCTTTTATGTTAAATTATGACTTGTTAGTGAGATAGCTGTACTGTAAATTTAACTATTCTCTCTCCTTTCTATCCTCATATATTACCATTACAATATAGTAAGTACATTTTGCACACTACACCTAAACTTTGCATCATTATGCAAGGACCGCTTCAAAGTACTCGAATAGTAGAAGCGATGTCACGTTTACTTGTGTTTGTAAAAATAATTGAATGTTCCTTTCAACTAAGAATTTTTACAATACATACATTTACTCTAAAAAATATACGTTACGTATATATTCATGTATCTAGCGAAATATCTTTACACATTAACAACGATGTTCGAATGTTGTTATCAATGACGACTTCTCTTTATGGCTGAAGAATACATTAAAAAGTTTTATTGGTTAATATTGTTAAGCATCAAGATGAAAGCAATGTTCCATGTTATTCTATGAATTACAATGTTTAATATGTAAATATTCCTGGGGATAACTTTACTATTAGAAACTTTGTGTATTTAAATTTTAAGTATTTTACGCTAGTACACATGTTCATACGATCGTTTTAAGCTTAAAAATGGGGTAATGGAAATTTGTTGAAAATAGTTTTAACAAGAAAAAACGTTAGCTTCGGTTGCACCGAGCTATATGCTATAGTGACTCGATGTGAACAAATTCTTCAGAAATTTCGTGATGATATTTCGTCAAATTAAAAAGCTTTCCATACAAGCACTTGATTCCAATCGTTCAGTTTGTATGGTAGTATATGCTATAGAGGTCCGATATCAGCCATTCCGAAATGAGCAGCTTCCTGGGAATAAAAGTACGGGTGCACAATTTCAGAACGTTATCTCAAAAACTGAGGGACTAGTTCGCATATATACCGCCAGACAGATGGACATGGCTAAATGGACTCAGTTGGTCACGCCGACCATTTAAATATATATTTTATAGGGTTTATGTTGTTTCCTTTTGTTACAAACATCGTGGCAAACTTTATATACCCTGTTCAGGGTATAATTACCCAATTGATCTAGACATTGCACAATTTATGTGCAGCCATTGCTAAAATATTTGCAAATTTCTACAAATAAAAAACCGTGTTATAAATATTTTTAAACATTATCGATTTTTCGAAATTTCAGTTAATTTATCAAATAGTCAAGTTTCGGTTTTTCACATAAACTAAAAGTCGCATTATATGAGCATTTTCAAAGGCTGTGTAGAACTACAAATATAGTTTACGAATACAAGATATCTTATTAATTTTGGCTAAATTGGACCATAAAAGGTTCTGTAATCTATTAAATTATTATAAATCCGTTATTAATTCAACATTCAAACAGCTTCAGCGTTTAAATGTATTTTTATTTTAAAATCTGCATATTATTATAGCTTTTCAATAAAGCACAAAAATTACAAATAAATATGAAAATATACATAAAGGTTGTCATATATCTCCCTTCCGCTTTTTTGTCTTTTGAATTTCGCGGCTATGTACAAAGCGCTACAGAGCTCGTATCTGGCAACACTATACATAATTTGAAAGGTCTTGACATAACCTACAAAACAACGCTATGCATGATTAGTTTGGATATTGCGTTCAACAGTTATAGACGTGTAAACATGGAGTTCACTAACGCCGAAATTCGCGCTATTTTAAAGTTTTCCTTCGTTAAAGGCAAATCCGCTAGAGAAACGTTCCGTGAGATTAATGGTGTTTTGGGGGATGGTACTCTATCACTTCGAACCGCGGAGGAATGGTTTCGACGATTCAGAGCCGGTGAAAACGACACCATGGATAAGCCAGCCGGCGGAAGACCTGTGACGACAAATACCGATCAAATCATGGAATACATCGAGTTAGACCGGCATATGGCATCTCGTGACATCGCCCAGGAGATGGGAGTTAGTCACCAAACCATTTTGAACCATCTGCAGAAGGCTGGATACAAAAAAAAGTTTGATGTTTGGGTGCCGCATAATTTGACGCAAAAAAACCTTCTGTACCGAATCAACGCCTGCGATATGCTGCTGAAACGGAACGAACTCGTCCCATTATTGAAGCGGATGGTGACTGGCGACGTAAAATGGATCACATACGACAATATCAAGCGAAAACGGTCGTGGTCTAAGGCCGGTGAATCGTCCCAAACAGTGGCCAAGCCGGGATTGACGGCCAGGAAGGTTTTGCTGTGTGTTTGGTGGGATTGGAAGGGAATCATCCACTATGAGCTGCTCCCATATGGCCAGACGCTTAATTCTACCATCTACTCCAACTCCAATTCTACCAACAACTGGACCGCTTGAAGCAGGCGATCGACCAGAAGCGTCCAGAATTGGCCAACAGGAAGGGTGTAGTGTTCCACCAGGACAACGCCAGACCACACACTTCGTTGATGACTCGTCAGAAGCTACGGGAGCTCGGATGGGAGGTTTTATCGCATCCACCATATAGCCCGGACGTAGCGCCAAGTGATTACCACCTGTTCCTGTCCATGGCGAATGCCCTTGGTGGTGTGAAGTTGAACTCAAAAGAGGCTTGTGAAAAGTGGCTGTCCGAATTCTTCGCAAATAAGGAGGGGGCTTCTACGAGGAAGGTATTATGAAGTTGCCGTCTAGATGGAAACAGATCATCGAACAAAACGGCGCATATTTTAACTAAATCCGATCACTGTAACACTTTTTATAAAGCATTGAATGAAGAGCAAAAAAGCGGAAGGGAGATATATGACAACCTATTTAAGTACTATTGTAAATAAAAATACCAACAAACTCATATGTATATAAAAGGATACCAAGAAACATTAAAGCATGAGAACCTTTAACAACAAACAAATGTAAAAACACATCAATAGTGTTGACAAAATTTTTTTATTTTACAAATGCCCCTGAAGTTTCAGTTTTTGTCCTAAAAAAGAATTTAACGCAAACAAGGCCTTTTTTATATTAAAACTATTCCTTTCAAAGTTATACGCCGTTAAAGTTATGCATCAAATGTACTGAACATTCATATATGGTAGTACTTTGTCGTATGGGCAACACAAAAGTTATAAATCCCTTGTTTGAATGCTAAAAAGATACCAAGAAAAGAAAACCTCTTATAAATACAGGTACAGTACATTTGACGCATAATTTTAACTGTGCATAACTTTTAAAGGTGTGCTTTTATGAAAAAATCATTAACACCTTTTTATTGAGCGGAAAATTTTGTATTACAATAAAATTTTTCCAAAGTTGTAGATTTAGTTGCTGAATGCAAAATATAATTTATGCACGGTTTAAATTGAAAATGAAGAGCTTGTTTATGTCCTTTTTTAACGGCGATTGCAGAAAAAACCAAACAGTCTAAAATCTCTTTAGAGATCTCATGGATCTCGATGGGCACTTGAAATGAAAATACTCACCCTAGCCAGCCTAGTTTTATGAGGTAGAAATATTTCCCCGATAACAGAAGCCACTATTCATTATTCTGGAATTTTTAAGGGTGTTAGGTTAATGAAAAAAGATAGTTGATGTTTTCGCCTCCATTTATAAAACATCTATTCATTCACTTCCATACTTTCATGTTCAAGAAAAGATACAGTTGGAGATATGAAATGAAAACTCGTGATTGTAAATTATTTAAATATCTTGAGAAAATTGTATTATATTGTCGTGCCTGATCTGGTTGTTGAGTTTTAGGGATTATTATTCATTTTTAAATTAAATTTACTTTCTAGAAATTGTAGAAGTGGTTGAGCTTCTTCAAAGGCAAAATTGACATTAAACTCATTGGCACAGTGTGCAAATCTTCTCCTAATTCTGCTGCACTAGATGAAGTATAATATATACCAATAATGCTCTATGTATGAATTTTAGTATATCGTTAATTCGCTGGTTCGGAGTGATGTTGAGAACAATCATTGCCACAGTCTGCCCGCTTTCTATGACACATTCGCCCGCACAAATATCTTCAACTGCAGCAGCATTTACAGCCAACCAGTTAATTTGTTGTAAATTCATATCCATATGTGGAGTGACAATATTTATTCTGTCAGTGTAGTTATGGTAGACAGCTACCCCAATAGCTCTTACATTGGGACATTTCAAATGGACTATACAATCGAAGTTCGGCACATCCACAGCTTCTTCATTGATTATCCAAGTTTCCGACAATAATAAAATAGACGTAATTTAGAGAGAATAATGAAAGAATTAACATTAACATTAACATTAACACTAACATTAACATTAACATTAACTTTTACATTAACATTAACATCAACATTAACATTAACATTATCACTAACACTAGCATTAACATTAATATTAACACTTACATTAACATTAATATTAACATTAACATTATTATTAACATTACTCCGAATCTGTCGCGTTTTCGTTTCTCTCCCGTGTTTCCTTCAGTCCGATTGCAGCCCAACGAGTGCAAAGAAGTTTACTTCAATAAATGAATTTGGGAAATAACGCACATCCTAATATACATAAGTATGTATATTAATTATGACTTCAAATATTATCATAAAAAAATTATAATATTTTTATAACAAATATCACTGATAAAACTTAGTGTTCGGTTTATACATTTAAGAGTAATGTAACTGTTTAAGTAATGCTAACCATAAAGACATGTAACTTTCAAAACATTTGATGCTTCATTCTGCAATAATAATTTCCTCGTGTAGATAATTAAAGTACATTTTTTTGCCCACGCCTTACCTACAATATGTAGATAAATACATACTAAGGTAACAAACAGAATGAAAGTCATAAATTAATCAAAAGAGAAGCCACTCAAACACTTTTTTACAAATAAATTTATTATAACATGAATGGAAATAGGGGTCACATCTATATCCTATAATATATTATAATTTATAAGGGTTGCACACACTTGCTTATTTTCTGCACAAATCATTATGGAAAATATGATGAACGTATGTAATTCATGGAAATGTTGAGTTAATTCGTCGCAATTCCGTATAAATATATGTATAGATAATTAAAAGCAGTGATCCTTAATGGTACGTTGGAATAAATTTGGAATTGTGTCTTTATGATAGTTTCTCATTTAAGCATGGTATATATGTATGTAGGTATGTGTATGAGAAAAATGTGTACGTGTACATTTGTAATGTAATATGCCTACTTCATATATATTTATGTATATAACATTCGAATATATGCCTTCCCAAATACATATATTTCACATTTAAACTATTTGTAGCACTTTTAGTTTTAGAAGCAGCTTACTGCATTGAAATAACAACGCCAGTATATACGTCCTCCATTGCCCATTCCGTTTCGACCAACAATACCATTTAAATCACCAGAATCGTCATCTCTTGTTGCAGCACCCGTAAGCATCGCTACATCTTCGACGTTGCCAATGTTCCCTCCCAAATCCAAGTTATTGCTTCCTCTTCTCTGAAAGCTCTTTGCCATTAACTGAAAATTTCTCACACACATGCCCAAATCTCAATGCAATTATGCTTTAATTATCCAACTTACAGTTTCACCAGTGGCACGATTTATCGAATTTAGGTCTTTGAAATCGTAATCCATCACAACTGAAGGATCATCATCGCTGTACATATGATTACCATTGATTTGCTCATAATCATCACCATTACTAGGATTATTATCTTCCCTCATGTTGGCATATTTATCATTCTGTTCCGCATAAAAATCACTTATTTTACGACGTTCTTTTTCTAGAGCATGATGTAAAGCAACCATGAGTCGGTCTAATAAAAGAGCAGCTCGCTTAGGTACTACCATCTAAAAAGTAAATTTACCCCTTGACGTATAAGTAATTGTTAATTATGATATACAGTCAATTACATGCATGAAGAAGAGTAGATTTCCACTCAATATTGCTGTGTATATACCTTGTAAAAAGGAGAGCTTTAGCATACAAATATTTACTATGCAATTTAAATTAAAACTTTATTTCATTCAAAACGAATGCCAATAGAACCTCATTAGTGCAATAGTTAAGGAATCTATTAATTAGGAGCGTACATTAAATGGTTTGATCTAGACATGCTTATTAGAGTGCCAACGGCTATATTCATTATTATCACTAGCAATAACTCACCGGATACTCATCATAATTGGCTTCGACCCGATCATCAAGACTAAAAATTTCCTCAGGCTGACCACTACCAATACGTCGTTTGTTGTTGACAGTTTGTCTGTCTTCGATATCACCCTTGCTAGTATTGCTAATTATTATCTTCTCAGTAGCGGCAATACTTTTCGTTTTGCCACCTGTGGAATGTTCCCCGTTTATTAGATAGTGTGCGTCATCACTAGTTGTTAGATGATGTGCTGATATGTGACAACACATACATAAGTCGGCATGTTGCAGCAGTACGAATGCAATTAAAAGCAAAGCTAATTGTTTTTGAGGTATTCGGACGGAGACATGGATATTGGAATAATAACGTTTACGTGAAATTGAAAAGACATTAAACAATTGCTGTGGTCCAATGTTACTCTTAATTTTCAGCATATTTACTTTCAATGTTTTATGATGCATTTCCAATCATTAATAGTTCAGTATGTATATTCAGAAATATGGTTTCAAATCTAAAGAAATACCACGTCAAAATTGATGATGACGAATACAAATATATTTTCGACTTAATATGGCACTAATTCGATTACAATCTCAAATAGAGAAGGCCTATAACAGTTTGTCTCAAGTATTTTCCATCAATATTTTATTATTGATTTTCTTATTAATATCGATAATGCGAAGTTTTACAACGACTTATTTCAAGAATTTTTTTTTAATCCATCTGTTTGAATGGTAATATTCAGTTGCACTGGTGCTACTACGACTTTGGTCATGTCTTTTTATAGTAGCACTTCTTTACTATGTTTGAGTATCCTACAAGTCCTTGTATATGTATATACATATAACATAAGTACATAAGTATAATATATTTATTTTGCATTCTTATTTTTATGGTCATTAAAACATGTTTTTTCCATAGCAGCTCCTTAAGTCATTGCCACATCATACAAAGAAATGCTTTTTCAAAATCATCCGTCTATTCGATATGTACATATATTTTTTGCTTATAAATCATCATGTTTCTGTGGTTGTTATAATTAATAATGTCCCAGATGCAGTATGTGTTATTACATACATATGTATTTATTTATACATACATGTGTATGCCAGTTGGTTTCAACCGGGTTGTAATAGTACGGACTTAACATAAAAAAAAACATTTTACAACGTATTCTGAGCGCCTTAAGCGTTTGGACGAAAATATCAATGTGGCTATTTCTTCTTGTTAACGAACGGGAGCATTTTCAATAAGTGCATACATTTTTCCACTTATTGTCAATATGCGTCCGCACACTATATACATTATATATGTATATATACCATACACTGTAATACTGTCAAATTCACTAGTTATAAACGACATTTGTAAAAGCGAACTTCCTGGATGCTTATAGCCTAAGATATGTTAGTTGCCAAATTCCAGTCAGAAATATATCAATCTCATACTAGTTCAAATAATATATAAAAATGTGATTAGAAAAGTGTTATAAAATAGGTAAAGTCTAATGTTTTCCGGTCTAGTTTAATTTTAAATTTGTGGATTTACACGTATTATACTCGTATTTCCTGACTACTTTGAGGTTTTACTGTAGATAGACATGTTCGTGTTCGTTTGTATGTTTACAAAACAGTATTCAACATAGACAACCATCCAACTTCATAGTATGAGCAGAAGAGATAGCAAAATAAATTGGATTTAAGAAAAGGTTTTGTAAATATATATCCAGAGGGTTCAAGAAAATTGTTAATAACATACTGATTAAACCACACTTTAAAATAAATGAATGAAATTCATTTTAGATGAAATCTAAATGTACCGAAAAGTGAAATTCTTATAAAATGAAACTAAGTTAAAGCAATTAATAAATTATCGTACTATGAAAGTCATCTTTGACATAAAATATGGAAATTTACCGGCATATTTAACAATTTTCTACTATTAAAGGGCTTTAATATTCCAAAGAATTACCAAATGAAAAAAAAGTATGCAGAGATTCGTGTTTTTAAAACCAGCCTTTATGAATATTGTAAACCTTTAATTAAGGTATGGATCAGATCAAACTAATTCCAAACTTTTAGTTTTCTATTTAATTATCGTTTTATGGGGAGTGGGCGAATTCGTGGTCTGATATGATTATAATATTATATATAACGTTAAGCTCATTTCTTCTTCACCAACAAATATAACAATAGTACATGATGCACAAAGCGGGCTAATCTTTTTCTACACTACAAACATTAATACTCCCTAACATACATACTCCCTAACATATGACGAACTTCATAATAATTTGCAGCTGAGCCAAGATTAAAAATTTTAACCAATTTCGAAATTCTAACTATATTTTCATACATATCTCATATACAAACAAATGGTAGGTAAACAAACCTAACCGACAGAGTATCTGTTGTTATATCCGATTCCGCAAAAATATATACCAACTCATAACACTAAATGTCAATTAAGCTAGAAGAAACTCGCAGCAGCATCCCTGTTCGTTTATTTGAGCATGCGCACGAACAGAATTGTATTTACCAGATTAAAGGAAATGTCAAAAAGAGAACTCAAAGGCTCGGCATTAAGTTAAGTAAAATATAGTTAAAATTAAGTAAAATATTGGCAATAAAAGAGGAATGCAGACAACCCATTACGATAAAAATAAACGAAAATACCACGATGCGAGCTATGAGTAAGAGAATTATCCGTAAATGCAATATAAATATGTTTTTGTAATAGCATTCCCTTTTGTGTGACAAGAAAAATAATTGCACTAGGAAAAAATTAATCTACACTCACATATTTGTATTTATTTAAACACTAACTTTTAGAAATGGATGAGTTTATGCCTTTTAAGAAAACAAGCCTATCTAATATTTATCAATTACTATGTTTAAAGAAATATATGATGGATCGTGAGAAACTATTCATAAAATTTCCGTGCTTATTCTAATTTTCCAAAAATTATTGTTTGGTGGTGGTGAACTACTGGGGAAAATTATGTATTTACTGTTATGTTGAATGGTCCTCCTTCTCGGCACATCTTAATTTTAATGTAATTTTTAAATTGTTACGATAAATATCACTCTTCTCTTTAAAATATTCTAAAAGAAATTATAATAAGCAAAAAAAATAAACATTATAATATTTCTCACAGTTAAAAATAAAGTTGTTATTGATGTATTCATCAAATACGAAGACTCGTACAACAACAACATAAGAATATTTTTAATAGACTTTAATAAATACAAAATAATACTTTAATTGTAGCTCATTGCATATGAATACAAGATCTTTAATATTTGTTACCATTTATTTGTTTTAGACGAAAATATCTGTTGGACCCGAAATATATGACAAAACGAGATCTCCAACACTATTACCGGTACTTTCACAGCTCTGACAAAGGTCGACTTAATTGTAAAAAAATCATATTTATTATATTGTGTGTATGTTTTTTCGCTTACTTATTCGTGGATTACAATATTCGCACAAAAATAATTAAATTGCGTGATCGTTTCGAATTTGTGGCTCGAAGCGACCCACAGTATAACGTTAGCCAAACCTATTTTGTTAATACTCCAGGTTGTCATATTCCATATTTTGATGTGACTAACTATCGATTAATGCAATATATGGGATCACCCCCAAATCTGACTTGCAAAAAAGCTATAACCCGAGCAAGCGAGGTGGGTTCACGTTTTTGGTGGACCATAACTGACGAAGAGTTAATGTTGTATTATAAAATAAATGATACCAGCAACATCAATTGCAATTATAGTCCGCTAAAACACAACTACAACATTTCAACGAGTAAATTCGGTGATGTTGTTCCATTCAAGCTGCATTTCAACCAGTCTATTGAAATTGCACCGGAAATAGAATTTATACGAATTCGCTGCTCAGAAAAGCATAGACAATACTTCTATGAAGATTACCACTTTTTTGCTATAAATAAAACAACACCAAGAACGAATTATTTTGCGAAAAATGAAAAAAATAAAATTAATAAAAAGGTAACAAGAGCTAAAAAAAGAGAAAACCCCAATGACTACTTACATGTAAGGGACAATAATGTAAATGAGTCTGCACAACAGCTTTCTATAATGATCTTAGGAATTGACAGTGTATCACATTTAAACTCTTTACGATATATGAAGCGTACTGTCGATTACATTCGAAGGCGCTTAAATTATGTTGAGTTTTGGGGTTTTAATAAAGTGGGTGACAACGCCTATTCCAATCTAATTCCACTTTTTACTGGTCTTGCTGCAGACGAGTTGAAACTATCTTGCATGCGTGCAAAAGAATTACATTACACTGAATGTCCATTTATATGGAAACGATTCAAAGAAGCTGGATATATGACTTCATTTCTCGAAGATGTCGCTCGAACTAGCCTTTTCAGTATGGACACAATTTTCAGCCATCCCCCCACCGACTATTATATACGCCCCATTGTCATGGAAATGGAGAATCATATTGGTTATTATTACTCCGTAAGCCTTAATTTATGTATGGGAGGACGACGCACAATTGATTTGGTACTCGAAATGATCCATAAGCTGACTCCATTCCTTCAAAAAGAAAATTTCTTTTCATTCTTTTGGCTTGCGTCCATGACTCACGATTTTATATATATGCCAAAATTACTGGATAATGATTTTGTTAACTTATTTGAGCGTTTCCAAGAAACTGGTATTTTGAATAAGACAATCATTCTTCTGACGAGCGATCAGGGCCTACGCTGGGGCTCTTTTCATCGAACATACCAAGGTATGATGGAGGAACGACAACCCCTACTCATAGCCATTTATCCGTCATGGTTTAAGCAAAGGTATGCCGAAGCTGTTGCTAATCTGGAAATCAATGCCAAACGATTAACAACTGTCTATGATGTATATGCGACATTTTTGGATATACTTAATTTACATAATTTGCAACCATCAAACTTAAAAGCTCGCTCTAAAGAGCTCCATGATTTTGATACGATTCCCAGAGGCATTAGCCTATTTCTTCCCGTACCTGAGACACGCACTTGTGAAAACGCGGGTATTGCTTCGCACTGGTGCACATGCTACCAGCGAACCGAAATGCCAACGAACGATGTACGAGTACAGGAAGCGGCACGTTATGTGGTTAAATTGATCAACGAACAATTAAAACCATATCCACAATGCAGGGTACTATATTTAAACTCTATACTGGATGCAGTTTTGTTGGCACCACATTATACTATTATCAAGGAAGTCAACGATGATTATGCTATCGACATTTCTTTACGATTGCAAACTAAACCTGGATTGGCAGTATTTGAGTCAACGGTACGTATATCAGGGTACACAAAGAAGCTTACCGGTGCCATAACCCGGCTTAATTTATACGGAAGTCAAAGCTATTGTATAAATATAGATATACTTAAAATGTATTGCTATTGTCACAGATAAAAAGCATCTACATTAAAACTACCATAAAATATCTCAAAGGCAACTTAAAACAAACAACAAATACATTAATTATGCTTGACAAGAGATGAAGAAATAATTATGTAAACATAAGCATTCGCTTTAATATATAATTTAGATTTTATTATTAAACGTAATTATATTCAAATTCGGAAACTCGAAGAAAACTAAATAATTTAACGTGAAAAATATTATAGTCTTACGCTATATATAAAGAACCTGTGGAACAACGTTCATTTGAATAAATCTATATATATGCGTAAGTATGCACCAATAACAATAATCGAAATTACTTCATAATCATTTGACTGTAATATAATAATACATACTCTCAAAACAGACATCTGCAAAATAGAATAAATATTTTTATACTTAGGGCTTTAAAATAAATTTATAAATTCTCCGTAAAATCCATACTGATGCTCATCAGCAAATAATAATGCATTTCCAAACATCCCCATAGTTTTTTATATAATAGGTGTTAAAATGTAAATATCTTAATATTTGTATGTCACGATACTCATGTCCAGAATACGATGTTATTTAAAGATTAATTTTTATATTCATACAATCCAATCATTAAAATTATGATTTAGTTCTTCTTCTAAGGTATTATTAGTAAATTGAAATTTTCGACTCAGAGTTATTCATGCATAATCATCACTGTACTATGCCTAATACATTGCAATCAATTACTTAACGATCATAAATAATGATGGTGATAATAATGAATTGTATACCATTATGCCCGCAAAAAAATGGCCCCACACGTATCCCGGCCGCAGGACCCCTACATTCTTAATTGGGATATTAACTTTGACAGGTGAAATATCTCACATGTTTCAAGCAAATACTTACAACTGTAATGGAGCATAACGTTATAAATTTTATTTAGGTTAAAAAAAAACACTGATTAGCTTACGATACTTCCTCCTTATTAAGAACTTAAATTTCTATAAATTATTCTGGCAGATGTGATATTTGAAAGCTCTTATCTTATTGTCTTATTTAAGCTTGTTGTAAGTGAATGCAACATGAACTACTTACGGTTTGAACAATTTTACTGATTTTGATGTAATGTTCAGAAAGTGTTCCGAAGAAGAAATTTATTTGATGTTCTATAATCAGTACGAGGTCATAACTTGACTTCTTAACCAAGAACACAGCTGGAAACTCCCTCACCTTTGCGTATGAGCGGGTTAAGGATAAGGTAAAGATATACATGTACACTTAAAATATCTTTATTAAAACCAAACTTACCTTAAAGTATGTTGTTGAAAGTAGGGTTGCGATGCCCCCCATAACTGAATACTGTATCATCCGAAAATTAAACATCAAGGTTCATTCGTTAGATAATATTTTTTTCCAGGTAACGCTGAGAGTGTTTTTCGAAACTTCAATTTTTAATTTTTTTGGCAGAGAAAAACGCGTATTTTTGCAAAAAATTTAGCTAATTTGTTATCATAAAATACATCCAAAGGGAGTGTAATTCATTATTAAACTTCTGACTATTCACCAGAAAAATATATTTACACTCTTATTCTTTACAAAAGTCAATTTTCTAAGTACTTTTAGGTTATTTTTTCAAATAAATTATTTTCAGAAAAAATGTGTAGTAAATTAATTAAAAACCATTTTTAAAATGATTCCTAAATTAGTTCTGAGTGCTATTGCAAAAAAAAAATTTTAAGAATAATAACAAAACTGTACGTGTGTTTAATCAAATGTGTATGGCTGTATAAATTATTATGAAATTTGAAAATAACATTCCCGCTAGTTTTGAAGTTATGAAGAGCACTAATGTCCAACCTCCAGAACCGCCTCCTAGGAACATCAAGAGGTCCTTCCTTGATTACGTCGAACTGTACGTGTGTTTAATCAAATGTGTATGGCTGTATAAATTATTATGAAATTTGAAAATAACATTCCCGCTAGTTTTGAAGTTATGAAGAGCACCAATGTCCAACCTCCAGAACCGCCTCCTAGGAACATCAAGAGGTCCTTCCTTGATTACGTCGACGACATTAGACAGTACGCCGACCAGACTTCGGACGCAACGAACTTTAGTACTGACCGCCATTCACAGTGGAGCCATCAACACCTTCACCGACTCCCTCTCAGTGAATGGCGTACTAGGAGTCAAACCACCACCCATAGCTCTAGCAAGGATCAAAAGTTTTCATCGATCATGTTCGTCACGAGGCAAGATTTCAGGACTAGCTACACTGTTCCTAGAGGCAGAATTCGACAAATCGGATTTCCAGCCTATTATCGGCGCATTCGCTATCACCAAAGCTCAAAAAGTTCACTTCTAAGTTCAAAATAATTGAAGATTAGAGGATTTTAAACTGCATGAACTGATTTATACATTATTAATTTTCAAAATCGTACAAAGCAAATTTGTTCCACGCAACAACAACAAGAAATTAAATTGAATACAGATATGTTAAAGAGAACGTAAAACACTACGTCGTATTTGACTTATTCTTCAAAAACATTGAAGTAGTAAGTGGGAAGATAATTAATAAAGTTTATAAAGTATTTACCCCTGGGCTCGGTTTTTCTCTCGGCGGCTCTGATCGGCAGCTAATTCAATCCAAACTCAGTTTAAGAAATTAGTAATTCTAGTACATTTAATAAAATTAGTTTGTCGAAATTAAAACAAAAATGAAGAAGTTAACTATAAAAATTTAAATACTATCGCTATTTATCATAAATTTTAACGCACAGTGCATATAATAACTTTTTGATTATTTTAAAATATAACATAGCTCCTCCATGATCGATAACTGGTATAAAGATATAATGTTGCACGTGAACTGTACAGAGTTTCGGTTATTTCGTCTTGAAAATTCAAGAAAGATTTAAGTATGATAAAAGTTATATATTAGTATTATATTTTTGATCAAAAAAAATTGTGGAATCACCAAAAAGTCCTAAATGCCATTGTCTATTCTTCACAGTCGTAATAAAAAAGGGAAATACAGTTGCAAAAAATGTATTAAAAAAAGCAAATACATATTCTACTTAGTACTTATAAATAAGAGATAGGAGTTCTATCAAATTTATAAAAATACGTCACTTTAAGAAAAAATTTAAGTTTTTAATTTATTTGTATTATTCAAAAATTCCTTTGGCCAATCTTTAATGTATTATATTCTCATTCAACGAAATTTAATTTTGATTGATGACCTTTTAATTGAAATATAAATTAATATTTTTGTAGGGAGAAACAAAAATTGCTGGTGATGTTATTTTAGCTTATGAAGTGGGGGCAGAAAGCGTGGATTAAAATTGATCCATATATGTTTGAACAGCTTTCATTAGCATACGCACGTTGCTGCACTGTTGATTCTTAGGATTGTTTACCAAGAATATTTGGCAATTACGGAATAATTCTTGCAATACTTTTGGTGCATGTTCGCGAGTAATTGAATCCATTGGATTAATAGCGAGCAAAGCATCGGCTAAATAACTAAAAGAACAATATGGTTATTACTTTTTTAGAAGGTAACGAAAGTCTTTACAACTCACTTTTGCTTCAATTCATTGTGATTACTCATGTCGGCCGATATCTGTTGAATAAGTGATAATAGAACTTTCTGTTCCAAGCAACAATCTGGTGTAAAGACTACGGTATGATCAGCGTTTTTTAGGGTATATTCTACTAAATTCAAATCATTTGCAAGCAGGGCTTGATGAAATGCTTTATTGAATTGTCCTTGATGGAGCAAGTGTTTTATAGTGTCTTTCGTATCATACATCGGAGCTGGTGTATTAGTTTGAGAACGTAATGCAGATGTTTGATTTTCAAAACATCTTCTTATCTATATACAAAGTGGGCAATTGTTATTATAAAATCAATGAATTAAGGGAATTACCTCAGAACGAATAGTTTCATGTATTTGTCGAGATAAAATTATTTCTAGTCCTTTTACATCCTTTCGTGTCTCAAGCATGGCTTCTGTCACAGTATTGCGATGCTTGAGCAATATGGAATCCAAGTGCTGACGAAAGCCCGAAAATTTATTAAGCACCTCTTCTGTAGAGTCTTGCATAGGTTGCAAGTGGTGCAGATAATTATCAAACTGTTCCATAACTGTTAAACATTTCGTTACATTTCTAATTTCATTTGATAATGTTGCTACATACATTCTTTAATTCCAACACAAAACGCATCGTGCAGTTGCTTGAACATATGTTGAGATGACTTTTCATAAGCAGGTATTAACGAACTAGACATAGATTCAATAAATGCAGCTTCTAAACTACTCTGAATACCCACCAAAACGGATTTACCAATAGTATCAATTATGTTCTAAAAAACAAATGTAATTTAAATTATTTGCTAATCTCATTAATTCCTCCATCATTATTACTTTGCTTTTACAAATTTGTGAAATATTTTCATTTAGCATTAAATCAAATGTTGTTAGTTTCTGACTGACATCTATTTGTAATTGTTGTTGCACATGATCAATTTTTGCAGATAGCATTGGTGCTAACTGACGCTGAATTTCGATATTAATCACTTTTGATACAACTTCGCCAAAGTGTGTTAAAATATATTGATTCATAATTTGAATAAAACTGTCACGTAACTCTCTATTTTGTTGATCTCTGTTATCAAAAAAAATCAAAATCATGTTGTAATAAGAGTTAAGTTTAAGTACCAAACATAATATTTAACAAACCGTCCGGCCATAAAAGCTGTTAACTTTTTTTTGTGTTCATTTTCGTAACGCTTTAGATATTGTTCCATGAGTTTAGATAGCTGCATTTCAAGTTTAAATGAAAATTCAGACATACTCTTTGTAGATGTCATTGGATTTGCCTTCCTCATACTACTCACTTCGGCTTGTAAATGGTTTATTTGCGTTGACTGGATCTTAACCAATTCTAATAAGAATAATAAAAATATTTTAATCTGGAATATTTTTATTCGATTAATCATACCAATTAATTGATTCATTTTTCCATTTAACTCCATCATGTCTGTGTTACTTTCAATCACTTTACCTTCCAAATTGTTATTGCTACCACTGGCACTACTGTTAAGAGTAGGAGCAACGAGAGTATTATTAAGTATATTTGATGAAGCATTTACTGCCTGCGAAATTAAACTAGCCGCATTTTGTAGCTCAGTTGACTGTTTGGGTGTAGCCTTATGGGTATCTGCTCCTTTGGGCCAGTTCGGAATACTGGTCGTCGAATGACAGTTAGGGTCAATCAATTCTACGCATACTAAAATTATTTATACAACTTTAAATATCATGTTAGAAATTATACCTGTTTTATCAATTTCAGTAGTCCTTGTTCGATTATCCACCTTTTCTGTACTATCAGTCTCTTCAAGCAATTCGTCATCGCCGCTTTCATTTTCTTGTAAAGACATAATTTCTTGGACCTCTCGGCTGGGACTAGAACCCCCGCTGGCTACATTGTCAACGTTACGTCCGGAATTGTGACTGACTACTATTGATTTCGAAATCGAAGTGTTTTTTACAACAATATCAATTTTTAATTATATGTACTTTCGCCCAATTACGCTCATCTTACCACTACATTTACTTTCAACGCTACACTTTGCACTATTTAAACAAAATTATTTTAGGAAAGTATAGATATTATTGTCTTTAATAAATTACATGTCTTTAGCATATTTTCCAATTCATAATTATTAAATATAAAAGAGATTCGAAAATGTATCTGTACAATTTTTATCAGTAAATATACATTTCAATATTTACTGAATAGGCTGAATAAAGGAAGTGGTAGAATGTTCTTGAACGAAGTGTTAATTTGTCTCATTACCTATAAACTTTTTCTGCGGATCTAGAGACTGTTTCAATTGCAATTTTTGTTGTTCTTGGTCTTCGATTATTTTGTTATTTACCAAGTTCAAAATATTTATACTCTCTGCTTTTGGGGCTGGCGTTTGTCCCGCTACACCAGCTAGCATTAAAATCGTATTCAACACTTCTGAACTAACACAATCGGGAGTTTTTTTATCTAAAAATTATATTCAATATACCTTTAAATGAATTTATAAAAAGAAAAATTATTTCCCCCCTTCTATAGAGGAGAAAATAAATCACATCCATGAATTTGAATTATCTTACCATTTAACTTAGCACTGAACGCATCCGGTGTCATAAGATTTACTTGGGTAAAACTTTTATTGCTTGATTGAGGAGACGCGGAACAGGACCTATTATAAATTAGGTCGTCCGTTATTGCAGATGGTATTGCAGAAGTTGCTGCTCCAGCAACAACTGAAGAAGGCGTAGATGTTTGAATATTTATTTGATTAGTAACGTTAACTGATGGAACTGCAGCAATGCCGAGTATTGATTCCAAAGAATTGGTGTCATTATAATTTTTATGTTTTACAACCTCTTCATCTGCTTGTTCTGTTTTTATAAGAGTATGTTGTATATTATTCGAATTCGTACTATTTGTATATCCGATTGCACCACCTTTAACACCCCCACCACTATTAATGCAACTAACTACACTATCTAAGAGAGATGAATCTTGGGAAGCGCTTACTTCATCACTATCATCGGATAAAGTGCTCCGCACTTCTGTATTTTCAGTAACAGATGGCTGATATAATATACGGCATTCCTGCATACTCTTCGATTGTACGATAAACATTCGCACTACTACACAATATGTAGAATTAGTTTCTTCATCGTAGTCATCAAATTCCTCGCACATATAGTTGTCGTTTCCACATTTATACCGTCTTACAGCTGCATCGACAATTGAAAATGATAGAATTCCAGAGCTCAGTGGAAACGCAGATATGCTCTTTATATATACAAGATGGCGTAAATTTTTCGAGTGAGATTTGGAACTACCAACACTACTACTGCTACTAATGCTGATATTTGCCAAATTATTGTTACTCTCACTGTCAGATCCTTTAGCTAATGATATATTACTGTTATTTACAATTTGCATTATGTAACAAGTACGTGTTTCTAGACTCGAAATAACCAAATATGAAGAGGTTCGATCAATCTCGGCAATAAAACGCGGTAATTTTGTTTCTTCAGACGCCGTTGTAAAACTAAGTGATTGTAGACACTCCCAAGTACTGCAATCCCATACTTTGAATTCGGTATTATTGGCAGCACCTGTGATAGCATATTTCCAATAAGTTCTGCAAAAGTTAAAATACAGTTGTCGATACATTATTGTGAAATTTGTTACCTTAACATACCCATTAAATCGAGTAAAAATGGAAGTAAGATAATACAATATTAAAATTTAATAAAATGACAAATGTTCAATACAAAGAACTCTTAGTAATATGATAAGTAACGAAAGTAAAAATTTGTGTAAAAGTGAACATAACATATAAAGTCCATCAGAGGTGGTTGTTGTTGTTGTAGCGGCAGAACTCTGCTGAGTTGACAGTCCTTGGCCGCATAAAAATTAGGGTCCGTTCCAGTTACGTAGACCCGACTGTCGTGGGAACGGTGACTGTCCCTCAGGTCTTTATATTCAGTATATGCAGCCAAGAGTAAAATATAAGCAAATTTTATCAATTCTTTCTGGCTCTATACAATTGAAACATTTGTTATATATTCTCATCTTTTATCAATTCTTTCAATTTCGTTTTGTTATTCCAATTTTCTCTAATGCGTAAGTTAAAAATTTGGTTCCGTCATAGAGTGGTGTAGTTTGTGGAGTGCACTTATGCTATGACGATGTTCCCTCATATAAACGTACATTTTATAACAGTTAATATTTGCGCCTTCACTATTCATTAACATTATCTGACCCAACTAATTACTAGTTAGCCTAGGTGAGCCAACTTTTACACATCTTGTAGGGATTTTACTTATAACAAAAAATTTATTAAATAAGATTGCAACTATGTTGAATGATAAAATCAAAATTCTAGTCAATACTCCTGGATGGCATAATTATTTTTTGGTTTTTTCTAATTTCAATAATTGGGTTAGTTTGCATTTATTTTCACTATTGGAAATTATAAACTGTTCTTATTTTTTTGATTTGGTTTTACTTCTAGTGGCCTTCCTTTTTATCTCCGGTATTTCAGCATTTCTTATTTTTAACTACCGTATTCAATTTCGTTTTGTTATTCCAATTTTCTCTAATGCGTAAGTTAAAAATTTGGTTCCGTCATAGAGTGGTGTAGTTTGTGGAGTGCACTTATGCTATGACGATGTTCCCTCATATAAACGTACATTTTATAACAGTTAATATTTGCGCCTTCACTATTCATTAACATTATCTGACCCAACTAATTACTAGTTAGCCTAGGTGAGCCAACTTTTACACATCTTGTAGGGATTTTACTTATAACAAAAAATTTATTAAATAAGATTGCAACTATGTTGAATGATAAAATCAAAATTCTAGTCAATACTCCTGGATGGCATAATTATTTTTTGGTTTTTTCTAATTTCAATAATTGGGTTAGTTTGCATTTATTTTCACTATTGGAAATTATAAACTGTTCTTATTTTTTTGATTTGGTTTTACTTCTAGTGGCCTTCCTTTTTATCTCCGGTATTTCAGCATTTCTTATTTTTAACTACCGTA